TTATAACCATACAATATTTTTAAATATATATGTATTTGGTAAATCTTTTTAAATTATTTCTTATAAAATCTGTAGGAAGCTAAAGCAAATTTATAATGATTTTATATATAAAGTCAAAAATCTCATTTTAAAACTTTTTTATTGTGATTTTTATTTAAAAAAACTAAAATTTAAATAATTATCAAATTACCCATTAAAACTCAACCTCATATAATTCAATTGTATCATAATTTATAATATTTTAAAAATTATAACAAATCTAAAAAACTTAAATTATTAAGAAGTAATAAATATTATCTATTTTAATAATTATATATCTTACAATATTTTTTAAAATTTAATTAATAATTAATAAAATCTACCATATTTTATTCATAATACTTTTAAAAAATAAATAATTAAACTCTAAAATAACTTTCGATCATAGTTGTAGTATAACAAAGTTCAACATAGTTACAGCCACAATATTTCACATTAATTTTAAACACACCCTTAATTATTTCAGGACTAGTTAGAATAATTTAAACCCTAGAGTTTTTTTTTTTTTGGACAATTTAAAAAATAAAATTAAGCCCTAGAGTTAGTTCTCTTATTCATTGATAAAAGATTTAAAGTAAAAATGGATCCAAAAACTAGTGTGGTAAGGTTATGGTCACCATTAATATTGTTAAGGTTATAAAATTTGTTAATTTTTTATTTTAATTCAATTGCTAAAAATAGCTAATAATTAATAAAATAATTAATATTTATTATTTAACAAAATTAAAATAAATTTATAAATATATATTAAATATTATAATTAATTGTTAAAAAATATAAACTAATAAAATTATAATTAAAATGAATGATTATAACAAAATTAATTAATTTTGTTATGCTAATTAATTAACAAAATTAATAATGACAATAACCTAAGATGATACTTCATTTTCATTCCTACATCGAAATCTGACTTAATAAATTGTAGTACTATACAAACTTGAATAAAAATACTATTTCTTTGATTGATGAAAGAAAATTTGGGTATCCCAAAATTTAGAATGATTTGTCCATAAATTGTTATGATTTTTTTTAACATGTATTTTTAGGGCATAGGTAAAAAAAACATCATTTTATCATAAATGTATATAAAAAATATAAAAGTTGATATTAATTTTAATTTTAGTGTTAAGTGGATAAATTTGTTGAACAATTAATCAATTAAATGTCAACTTTTACTTTTCAATACAAATTTATTACAAAAAAAATACATTCATTATATTTTTTACATGTGCTCTTATGGTATAAGTTAGACAAAACTAATTACTGTATCAGTAATTACTTATTTATCATATTCCAAGAGTTGTTTAGATAAAAATTGAAACCCTAATTCCATCCACCCATAAATTAACAAGACATGGTAATCAAATTATTTTAGATAGGAGAGATTTATTTAAGATCCAGAATAAATTACACAAGAATATGTAGATTTTTACTTATAATTTACACTTATCATTCTCCCATAAACAGGGTTTTTATCAGCTACTAGAGCCCTAACATACCCAAATAGACAAAAACCAAAAAAAAAAAAAAAAGCAGCTTAATTTCCTAGATTCCTAGATATTAATACCGTTTAGAACAACCCTTCACCATCTTCCGAAGACATATTCACTAAGCCTTCATGACCATGACCCTGACCCAGACCCAGACCCGACCCATCCTCCAGCAGCCACTTCTCTAGCATTGTCAGCTGCACCTCACCCTCCATATTCGGCTTGCTTTCATCTTGGAAGATGCTGTTTTCCGGTGTCAAATTGGCTGCCTCCTCCACGGAGGTAGAAGACCCAAGAGACGCATCAGAATTGGAAGAGTTGAAGCTGAAGGGGCAGCTGAGTGCCCCTTCGCTGGAGCTGGACCCGGCAGTGGCTGCAGCAGATTTAAGAGGGTTCTTGTTTTTCATCCAGTTTTCAAGCAACCGGGATATGTTCTCAGTGCTTGATGCATAGTTGGATGCCTGGTACGGCAGCGTCGTGTGAGGATGAGAGAAAATATTGGTGGAGGAATCCTTTGATGAGTCGGCGTTGGTCATGGACAGAGCCTCCGACAAGGCTCGCTTCGCCATGTGGATATCTGTCTGAAGCCGTCTTTCCCACTGACCTTTCGAGATTAACGGGAAGGATGAAGAAATCCCATCTTGATTATCTCCATCTTGCCCTGTCTGGAGCTTCTTCAGCTTCTTCTTTAAATGGGTGTTCCAGTAATTTTTTATGTCATTATCTGTCCTCTGTGGAAGGTATGAAGCTATAGCTGCCCATCTTCACCCATATAAACAATTTCTCATCATTTTTCGTTATGAAGTCTTATATTCGAAATTTTGAGACGACTTTTGGAATCAAGCAAGACATAGCAGAGAAA